AAAGAGTGCTTTCTCTGCAAACAAACTCTTGCTACCAATGGCTGATTTGTAGTTTGGAAACAATGTTTTATCATTTCTGTTTTAGAACTTTTGAAAAGAGCAAGTTACCTAGCAGGATTTTTCTTTTATATCCCAACTCAGTGTGAAGTAGAGAACCTAACTTTAGCTCTGCCTGAAACGAGTATTAGCCATTGGTTTGATAGTTCTTTGTTGCAGGTCTGTCTCCTCTTCCCTGCGTGGGACAATTCTATGTGTGAATTGGAGAAGAAACACCTGAAATGTTTCTTTCCAAGATATAATTAGAAAATCAGTAACTTTGGATGCTTTACAGTCAAAATACAATGTGTCTGAAATTATTTCAAAGGCACCTTTTGCCTTGATATTAATGGCTCTATGTGAGCAAATCCAGACATGCACTGGGAAAGGCAAACTGTATGAATGTGCATTTCTTTTTGAAAAACTGTATGAAAGGAGCCAAATAAAACTTATTTTCTACAAAATTATTTGAATTCTATGCAGTTTCCGAAGCTTTTTCTTGTGTGTGTGGCCTATTCTCCATACAGGCTTGAGATGCCATACCTTTCCAAGACCACATCATTTCCGCTTTAGTTTTCACTATTGGATTTATTTTTTTTTATAATATCAGGGAGAAGAAACCTTATATTTTCCATGAACTTGTACTGTGTCCAAGGGACATACTGTTATTAGTAGGCAAGAAAACTTCTGAAGCTGCTGATTTTTTGTGTGAGAGATGAGGCTCCAACTTATTTTGTCTTCATTTTATAAGATTGCGTGTTACCATTACGTTTCATTAAATTAATGTATTGCATTCTGGGGGAAGGAAAGATCCCTCTAAATCTCCATAGGTGTCTTTTTTTGCAAACCGTAGATGTTTGAAGCACTATTTTCATCCATATAATAATTGTCAGTGAGAAATGTTGTTTACTTATGTAATTGTGAAGTAAGAATTACTGTTCATATATTTAATCAAATTTCTGAGGTAGCTGTTAATAATTTGCCCTCAGGATATGTCACTTCCTCTCTCTCTTACTTCTGCATTTGCTCATCTTACGTGTTTGTCAGTAAGATTTAAGATAGCTTAAGCTGTTTTATAAGGCTCACAGCTGCAAAGTTTCCAGTCGTCAAAGTAGTTCTCTTTTGGTCACTCTGGTTTTGGTGAGACGTATGCTTACTTCCAGTGGGGAGTACTGATATTATGTAAGTAAGTAATTGAATACGTAAGTCAACTTTTTAATACATCTGAGAGGGAAGTCAAACCAGAAAATCACTTCACTGACTATAATGCATAGTATGAAATTAAATATATGCATATATTCATATATTGCATATATGAAATGCATTTGATTATAATGTCATGCTAGGTGACATAACTTGGAACAGATAAAGTAGACTTAAAATTGTAGCAGATAATTTTGGGAGAGTAAGACTAAGATGATGACTGTGCAATGAGCAAGGTTAAAATGATCTGTTATGCTTCTTTGGTCACAGGCTAGAAACTAGATCTTGTATGAGCCTGGAAACTGGGTTTTTTTTGGATGTGGGTTGGAGGCTTCTTGGTCACTGAATGGAAAGGTTCTACTGAGCACTGTCAGACTATAAAGAGGTATCCTATTTTCAGTTAAAGAAAGGCTGATATTTTCTGTAAATGTTGCTGTTCTTTACAGGTAACAGCAGGTGGCCTCTACTGCAGGGCTTTAGGACAGTGGTAGGAATTTTACAGGAAATTTTTTTCAGTCACTGAAGCTAATGGCAGTATATATTTGTGTTTGGTGCTTATATCTTCTAGGGTGAATTGAACTAGATTGTGAGGTGGGAAATTAAAAGCAAAATTGAAACATTCTGATAAAGCAGATCTTATAGGAACCTGTCTTTTGATGATTGAAAACAGAAGTTTGGCCTGCTTCCAAATGCAACAAAAAGTCAGGCTGAAGTGTAGCGGTCTTGATTTTTCTGTCTCTCTTGCTGGAGAAAATACTGAATCTATGGCTCCTCTGTAGAAATCAGTATAATCTCTGAGTGATGGTGCCTAGTCAATATAGTCAGGAAGAGATATATAACCTGTGTAGCTTTTGAAAGTTAGTATATACATATATGAACCCTTAACAATCCAAGTGATCTTACAGTTTATTGAGTTAAGCTGAAAAATGCCTCTAGATAAAAAAGACTAGACATTCTCGTTTGCTTTTTTCCCCCCAAATACTTTTTCCAGATTTCCGCAAGTTGTGGAACAGTAACATAGAATCATTTGGGTTGAAGACCCTTAAGATCATCGAGTCCAACCATTAACCTAGCACCGCCAAGTCCACCACTAAACCATGTCCCCAAGTGCCACATCTACGTGTCTTTTAAATCCCTCCAGGGATGGTGACTCCACCACTTCTCTGGGCAGCCTGGTCCAATGGTTGACAACCCTTTCAGTGAAGAAATCTTTCCTAATATCCAATCTAAACCTCCCCTGGTTCAACTTTGAGGCCATTTCCTCTCATCCTATCGCTTGTTACTTGGGAGAAGAGACCAACACCCACCCCTCCACAGCCTCCTTTCAGGTAGTTGTAGAGAGCGATAAGGTCTCCCCTCAGCCTCCTTTTCTCCAGGCTCAACACCTCAGCTGCTCCCCACAGGACTTGTTCTCTAGACCCTTCACCGGCTTTGTTGCTCTTCTCCGGACGTGCTTCCCCAAGCCTGTGGCGTTACACGGGGTTGTTGTGACCGAAGTGCAGGACCCGGCATTTGGCCTTGTTGAACCTCATGCAGCTGGCCTCAGCCAACTGGAGGAGGACGTTTCAGCCATTTTGAAGAGATACCGATAAATACTCTTGCTGGTAAACACAAGCATGGCATTTTTTGTAAGTCCAAATACCAGCTTTTAAAAGATGTGTGATTGTTGTCTAAAACCTGTAATATTTTTTACAGGTAAGTTTGTTTACTGGCGTGAAGTAGTCCACACTGATGCCTGAAATAAAACAGACACCTTTCTTAGAGTTGTGCAGAATATTTTTAAGCACCACCATTAGACTTTCCTCCTAATTTACAGCGTTCTAATTCTAAATATATTGTGCTTAATGGAATTTTGCTTAGGAGGCTGAAAGTGCTTCAGTTAACTACTTACAAAGCTGGGTACTTACAAAATACTGCTTGATATAGTTATCATAATCTACCCATTTCCAGTTCCAGTTGTGTATTTTATGTGCATAAATATATGTTCTTAATATATCAATTAGGAAGCACAATATATTAGGCTTCTTAAGAGTTACAGTCTTAAAAACTGAGACAAACCTGAATTAATTCTGCTGCTCCCAATCCAGGGAGCCAGTGTGGGTATGGGAAAGACAGCAATTCTCATTTATTTTCCTGACGTGCATGGGAATGCTGCATACAACAGAAGCTGTTTTCCTACAGCATAGCAATGTCTGTGACAATGTAATTGGTATTGCATGTTTGTGACTATAATGATTATATTTTTCCTTCGGCGTTGTTTTTTTCTCACAAAAAGGGTTTTTGCAGCAATAGCTCTGCCCTGTTTTTAGAATTTCTAATTGCTGCTTCTCAACTTTGCAGTTACTTCAGAATATTTTTCTTCCAGAGTGTGGTTAAAGAAGGTTGAAACCATTACAAGAAAGGAATTGGAACAATTGTAAGAACTGAGGAGAACATTTTGTAATTCTCTGCAGTCACGTTGAGGCCTTTCAGCTATACTGATGATGGGAGAAATCTGCATCCCAGTAACAGCAAAAAATACAACTAATGCATCAAACTCTTCTTAAAGGGTAGCTAGCAGCTACTAGGAGTATGAGTGTTTCTAGGTGATTTGGTTTCTTTTGTAGGAACTAATTCCGCTGGTGTCCTTTTTGTTTGACATGGACCCCCATCAGGTGAGAACTGGACGGGAACCATGAGCTGGCTTTAGAGCAGCAGCTGTGGGACTGTAACGGGAGCCAAGCCTGGCTGACTCACAGCACGTTTTAACCGGTGATATCGATGTGAGGCACTGCATTCTGATATCTAGGATCTTGAATCTATAAGGCAACTTGCTCCTGTTTAATGGTATCTGTTTAGTTACTAATGTTCTGCAGGTATGAGATGGAGTTTCAGTCCATCACGCAACTATCCCATATGGGTTCTATAAACGTCAAAGCTCTTCGAGCGTTCTACCTGCAGGCTGTGAGAAGCCGTGTTTAGCTGTGGGGAAATCAGATCAGTATGGAATCATCTGCTGCCTTATGCATGCGAAAGACTGACATTTGTAATTTCCTTCTTTTTTTTTTGGATCAGTTTTCAGTACAAAGATCAATGTTGAGGTGGGACTGGTATCCCTTTGTTGTTGGTGGTAGTTGCATGCTCTGAGCTGGTAACAGGGAAAGAAAAAATTTGAAAGGACTCAGACTGGTAGGGTTATTCTAGAGTAAACCATCAAAGCTAAACTTTTTCTATGTTACTTAGTAGACAGGCTGAAACAATTTCAGAAGTTTTAACTGTTCCTGACAGCTCTGGATGATAGGTGATATGTTCAGTGTATTCAGCCTTCCAGTACCTCATCTGTCTTTAAACGCAGATGGAGAGTGTGAGGGATGGGGAATAATTAAAAAAATAAGCTTAAATTCAGTCTGAAGAAAAAGTTTTGCAGGGCGGGGGAAGCGTTGTAAACACCTGGAAGAAAATGGCAAAAAGATGAGTAGCCAACTTGGATTTTTAAAGAGTAAGTCATATGAAGAAACAGCCATACATGAGAGTTAAGGGCTCCGTGGACAGAAGAAAAGCAGATGTTTAGGCTGCAACTTTTGATACTGTCTTGTGTCTTGTGGAAACTTGGCTTAGCTGAAACAACTATAAGCTGGATGCCGAAGTGCTTTGAAAACCATTTTCACAGAGTGTTTACTGATGAGTTGATGTCCTTTTATCAAAATGGAAAGATTTTTTTTTTTTTTGAGGTCTGTCCTGTGGCTAGT